AGAATACCAGAAGAATGTCTATCTGTGCTTCATTGACTATGCAAAGGCTTTTGACTGTGGGGATTAAAATAAGCTGTGGCTGACTCTGAAAAGAATGGGAATTCCAGAACATTTGATTGTGCTAATACGAAACTTATACTTGGACCAAGAGGCAGTTGTCAGAACATAGCAAGGAGATACTATGTGATTCAAAATCAAGAAGGGGGTTCGTCAAGGATGTATTCTGTCTCCATACCTTTTCAATCTGTATGCAGAACAGATCATCCGAGATGCTGGGCTATACGAAGAGGAATGCGGCATCAGAATTGGTGGAAGAATCATCAACAACCTGCGTTATGCAGATGACACAACCCTGCTTGCTGAAACTGAGGAGGACCTGAAGTGCCTGCTGCAGAAGGTCAAGGACTACAGCCTCCTATATGGACTGAAGCTCAACATCAAGAAAACAAAGATTCTAACCACTGGGCCAATTGGTAGGATCAGTATGGATGGTGAAGACAGTAAAAACTCTTGATAACAGCAGCCAGGAAAATCAAGAGACGAATTGCATTGGGAAAGTCGGCTGTGAGGGACCTCGCAAGAGTACTGAAGAGCAACGATGTCAGACTGGAGACTAAGGTGCACCTGATCCAGGCTGTAGTCTTCATAACTACGTGCTATGCCTCAGAGTTGGACAGTGAATAGGGTTGACAGGAAGAGAACTGATGCCTTTGAGCTGTGGTGCTAGAGAAGAGTGTTGAATATACCATGGACTGCTAGGAGAACAAACAGGTTTGTCCTGGAGAAGGTGAAGCCGGAATGCTCCCTGGAGTCAGGATTCTGAAGCTTCGTCTGACATACTTTGGGCATGTTGCAAGGAGGGACTGGTCCTTGGAGAGGGACATCATGTTTGACAGAGTGGAGGGGCAGCGAAGGAGAGGAATACCTTTGATGAGATGGATCAATTGTGTGACTGGAGAGGTGAGAATAAGTGTGTTTGAGATGGCTAGGTTAGCACAGGATAGAAGAGCGTATAGAGCTCTTGTACATTGGGTCGCTATGAGTCGCAATTGTGTGAATATACCAGGGTTGTTTAAATTACTGCAATGTGAGGGCAAAATTATGTAACATTAAGCAGGACACTGAAAGTGGCCTCCTTGTTCAAATATGGCAGTAGATCTTGCTATACTGAATGTAGATGGCTTTCCCCAATCCTGTCAATCATCTAATCTTACATACTGGAGACCTCAAAGAACTTATACTCACTATGCGTCTTCTAAGAATCCACTCCTGGGCTCTGACCAGTAAATTTTCACATTCCAATTACTATGACAAATCATCTAAATTTTAAAATTTCAAATCTATTTCTAATCAAGGTGTTGACCTCGGCCACATCATTGTCACAGAGCTTCTTTACAGCTTGTTTGATCTGGTGCTCGTGGGCCTTGACATCCACAATGAAGACAAGTGTGTTGTTATCTTCTATCTTCTTCATGGCTGGCTCAGTGGTAAGGGGAAACTTGATGATGGCATAGTGGTCAAGCTTGTTGCTCCTGGGGGTGCTCTTCCAGGGTATTTGGGCTGCCTCCCGAGTCTCAGCGTCTTAGGCCGCCGGAAGGTAGGTGACGTGTGGATCTTTTTTTTTTTTTTTTGCCTGTGGACGCCCTTCAGGACTGCCTTCTTGGCCTTTAATGCCTTTGCTTTGGCTTCAGTTTTGAGAGGGGCAGGGGCTTCCTTCTTCACTTTCGGTGCCATCTTCAAGGAAAGTAAAACCAGCTATTCTGACTCATGGTGAATCCACATACACCAGAAAAGAACTAGTTTTCCTTAGGAGTGTCAATGGATTTTTCAGAAGTATATCGCTAGGCCTATCTTTTGCAGGGGCCTCTGGGAGGTCAAGAAACAACTACCTTTCGGTCAGCAGCCAACCAATTAACTATGCAGGGACTCTGGGTATGTGACTGCAGTGTTGTATACTGTCAATTAGGAACCAACTCACCACAGCTGACTCGATAGCAGGTTTTTCAGAGGCTGTAAATCACACAGGAGGAAACTGCCTATCTTCTTTCTCCCAGAGAGTAGATTCAAATCATATATCCCTTCAGGTTGGCAGCATAATTTCTTACTGCTAAGCCACCAGAGCTCCCTCTGAGAATTTGACAGAAGTATAAACTCTAGGATACTGGGCACCAGTCCTTAACAAAGTCAAGTCTACTTGGAAAAGAGAAGAAGGAAGCAATCCTAGCGTGCATCTAAGCAATTACTGTCACAAGAGGATAAAAATGGCTATTCTCCCTGGTAGTACCTTCCACCACAAAACTTCACTAATATTTTGGCCAAATGCATTTATTCCTCTTTTGCCAAAATGTTGTAAGCTTGCTGTTAAAATCAAACCATTTGTATGTTGTTGTGTTTTTTTTTTTAAAAAAAGAGACACTCTCCACAATTTAAAGACAATCTCCAGCCCTCGTTGTTATTTTGATTGTAGAAGACTAGCCACTGTGCATTTCATGTTGCCTAGCAACACCTAAGGCACTCTCTTCAGAGGTGCCGCTCAAGAAGCTAAACAGTAGCACAAATCAAGATGAAGCAATCAAAAGATGAAGTTTATAATCGAGGCCACCTCTCAGTAGAAGGTTGAAATGCAGTAAGAAAGCCTCAGTCTGGGTCATGAGTCCGCTCAGGTCCCACACCACATGCACAGGGTCACTACACACGTTTCATGTAGCTCCCAGTACTGTCAACAGGGCACATCTGCAGGGATGATCTCATCTGATCCTCTACTATGTCAATATCTTACTTTAGGACCTTAAGAAGCCAGAAGCTGAGAGGCTAAATGACTTGTTCAGTATCACATACAACTGCTGAGTACTGGGAGAGCTAGCTGTCTCCAATCCTGTATATTTTCCACTATGCTAACAAGATCACATCTTCTCTATCATCTTTTTTATAAAGAGCCCAGCAATATGAGATTTATTCTCTCAACACCTGAAACCATGGGTGTGAAAATCATTAGGGCTTATAGAAGCATTAAACCAATTTAACAAGCAAATAAGTCCCAACAAAATCCACAGTTATTATTACAGAATCAAATCTTTGACACCTGTTTCAGAAAATTGTTATGTTGTGGGAAAAAATTCCATTATAGAAAATTGTGATTATTAGTCAAAATAGATAAAATAATTTTCTCTTATGGGTAAGGCCTGGTTATGTACATTAGTCTTAAGTAGTACACTGCTTGTTACAATCTGGAACCTTCTTACTGACAAAGGATGCACTGAGTATTGTGGAGAGCATACTGTCCAATGTGCTTAGGTTAATGGGCATTCCATAATCAGCAATTTTTATAAACCTGCTCCTAGTGTGGCCTATTTTTGTATCCTTTATTATCCTACACCGTGAGTGGCATAAATGGTTAATGTGTTCAAGGGCTAATGGGGGGTGTGGGGTGTTAGAGGATGTGTTGAGCCCAAGCTCACCCAGGGGCGCCGTGGGGGAAAAAAGCCTGTTAATCTATCTGTATCTAAAATACCAGCAACTGGAATTCTTTAGAGCACAGTTCTACTCTGATACACAATTTGGGGAAGGGTAGTCGTTTGGCCACAATTAGTTATAAGGTCAAAATAATTGGATCCTATTTACAACACAATACTGCCAGGTGATGCACCTGAACATCACCTTATAAACCACTCCTGGCATAATGGTGAAATTATAATAATTTCTAAGACACATTAAACACCTTATGAAACACAAAGATTTTTATCTTATGATATCTATGACTCGGGAAGCAACCTACCCTCCTCGTGTGTGCTTCTGATTGTGAGCGGCCATCCTGTAAGGAAGCGGTCGTTCACCCAGGTTTTCCAAGTTCCTCACTATGGCTCCTCTGTCCATCAAGGCTTCTATCATACGTTTCAAAGCAGCAGCAGTCTCTGGCTGTTTAGTGTTTTTGTTTTTAAAAAGAGAGAAAAAAACAAACATCAGAATCATGATAAACAGAAGGGTCAGTTCTAATCATATCTGTTCTACTGATGGGGATCTTTGGGTAACAAGCAACAGAAACTGTCTGGAAAATTACTTTTTTTTTAAAAAAAAAAAAGACATTTATTGTAAGGATATTAGATAGCTCACAGATATGAAGGAAAAGCTGAAGAACCAGGCCTCGGAGGGTCCAGGGACCAGAGCGGCTCCAGGGTTCTGGTAGGCAGGAACTAATGGGTGGCTTCTTCAGAGAACCTCAGCCAGGACGAGTCAGCACCAATCACTGTCAGTCCTTGTATCTCAAAACTCAAAACTGAAATTCCAGGGGAAGCAGATTCTATTGGCAGGATACCATGGTTGACTGCCCACCAAAACTACAGAAAATGGGGAATGGGCTATCTTCCAAGGAAAAATGGGGAAGTCATAACCAAAATCAAGAATAATGAATAAAAATATAATCTCTGCCCTCATGGAGCTTACAGGCTAATAAAAGGAATTAACACAAACACATACATAAAAAGACCAGAAGGTAGAACACAGAAAATGATGTAAAAACTCAAGGGCTCATATTCAGTTGGTAGAAGGGTTCACTGAGGAAAGTTTGAGAGGAGCCTTGAAAAATGAGAGGAAAAGAATGAACAAAGCAATGAGTAAGAGTATAGATAGAGTAAGAAAGTATGAGTGCACTGACAGAACAAGTATGTTCCCAGTGGAAGAAGTGCAGGGGCAGGAAGTGTTAAGGAAAAAAATTGTAGGCTGAGAATTAGTATTGTGTGCGTGGGCATCACACACACACACACACAAACACAAACCAACTAAACCCAAATTCAAGCAAAACCCTATCACCCAAAGGCTTTTTGAAATTTGTAGTGAATTTCCTTTTGCCTATCTCTTTATGCCTACACAAACACACACACACACACAAAGTTGACTCTTCACAAGAGCAAACCTGAAAAAAAAATTCAACTAAAATAATGTAAAGTATAAGTAAAAAATGTGGCCAAAAAAGGACCCAAAATATGATGGCTGGGAAAATAATATTAGCTATCATTAACAGTTAAACGGTAATTTGAATCAATGGGTTGGGGGGACAACAACAAAAGTTTGGTTTGGAATATGCTGAGTCTGAGATGCCTATGGTACCCTAAAGTGACTTTTCATGATATAAAACTTAAGCTAAAAACAAGTGGGTTAGAAATACACATCTAACAGTCTATTGAGAAGATTGTGAAGTCCCAGGAGCAAATACCGAAGGAGAGTTAGTGTGTGAAAAGGTCAGTGATAGAACCTTTCTAAGTACTAGCATCAGGGAGCTGAAAAGAAGACTTGGAGCTAGAAATGCAAATATAAAAGATACAATTAAACATGACACGGAAACCAAAAGTCTCCACGTCCCAGAAACTTAAGGAAGAGTGGCAGCCTCCAGATGGGCAGAAAAGGAAAGAGATGGATGAAGAGAAAGTCACAGTATGACCGCTGCACAGTCACTTAGCAAAGCAGAGTCAGCTTTGAGATTGCTGAGTGGTAAAAGCAATGAAAGGGGGGAAAGGCCAGAATCTGAAGGGCAAACAATTCTGAGCAAATGTTTTAACAGAAAACATAACCAAACTAGTTCAAAGAGAAGGAACAAGTCAAAAAGAAAATTGACACGATACAATGATGTTTATGCCAGCAGTGTAACTGCTGTTAAGTTCCAAACCCATTGTCATCAAGTCAGTTTCAACTCATAGCAACCCTCTCTCAGATTTCTCTTTCTGAGATGTGGCTATCCAGTTTTTCTCCCAAGATTTGGTAGATTTGAACCACTGACCTTCCCATTTGCAGACTGACATGTTAACACACCATGTCATGGGGTAGGTATATAATCCCCACTGATTCCCAATGACCTCCATTTGGTTTCCAAGGCTGTAAATCTGTATGGGAGGAGACTAAGCATCTTCATCCTTAGCCCAAAGTGGCCCAGTAGATTGAACTGTAGACCTTTTGGTTAGCACTTCAACACATGTGTTAAGTAATATGTTGCTGGGGCTCTTTTGCTCAAAAGTGGTCTAGTGTTTTCATTTTACATATTTAATCTTTACACACACACGTACATGTGCAAGTTTAGTAACTTGAGAACTGAGTCTCTGAGAGATATAGTATGGATTCTAGGAGGAAGAGTCCGAGTCAAGGAAAAAAATAAAACTGACAATGGGGGAGAGAAAGCCAGAGACTGAGGTATGGAAAAGGGGCAGTTTATTTCAGTGACATTAAGTGAAAGAATGAAAACCAAGATTCATAAATGCAGGAGGAATTTAAGAAATGGATCCACTGGCCCATCTTGGATCACATTAAAAAAAAAAAAATTACAGGATGAAATCTAAGCGTGCATTCAGGCAACCAGAGAAAAATCCATCCTATTCCCTAAATTTTGTTCCTGTCAAATACTGCTAAAATTCAAAGGCTACACAAAGCACTAGCTTAAGGTATGGAGAAATAATTTTTTTACTTTCACCTCAGATAAGCCTCCTGGTTATTTCATAATAAAAAGGTATGCTTACAGCATTTTACATATTTACCACTCTTATGAGAAAACAAGTTAATCAGAAACAAAAATTGGGACCCAAATCTAACTTCTTTTACATAGTTCAATCAGCATAGAGACTAAATTATTCTTTTCATTCATGGATCACAAGGTATTTTCATATTTTGGTAGGTGCCTCATTATTAACAGAAGGATATTTCTCATCCTTAAAAATGTTTATTTCTTGATCAAGCTTTCTATCAATTAACTTATATAATAAAAAGTAATATATCTCAATATCTAAGTTCTTGTTTAAATCCCAACTGAAGTGTTTACAGCATGGAACACGGAGCATGCTATTCTGAAGCTTGTGAAAGTTTCCTCTTACACTTGTCAAAAAAAAAAGGGGGGGGGGGGAAGCTACCTAACACGAAAGTACCTGGAAAACTTGGGTGCCAAAATATATTCTTTTTAAAAAAAAAAATTTAATTTTTATATGTCAAGGTTAAACTACAGACTGGTTAAATGGCCATATTCATTTCCTAGAATTCCAAACTACACAAAAGTTTAAAAATAATAAAAAGTTGTTTCTGCTCCCCAACAAGTACTCTATCTGTTTACCCCTGGATCTTGTGGTAATATATAATTTTGACTACATGCGTCATTTAGTCTTCACTCACTAGAACGCTAGAACACAAAGATGTTCCCCTATCTTATACAAACTAAATCCTAAGACATGGTACAGTACAGAGCAGGAGCTAGCTAAGTGGATTTATGTATCAACTGTATCTCCCATAGGGATTCCTTTGTTTAAGGAATGAGGAATTTGAAGCCAATTTTCACTTAGAACCCTGTTCCCTATCAGAGTGCTAACTATAAGTCATCTTTACGTAGTCCTGAGTCAACTTCTACTCACAGCAATCCTACGAACAACAGAACTGAGCCTCACCCTATCCTGAACCATCCTCAACATGCCAACCTATCTCCTCTCTTTTGTGAACCTTCGACCTTTCCCAGCATGATGTGTGATCCTAAAAACCAGTCCCTCCTAACAACATGCTCCAAATACGAAAGACAAAGTTTTACCAGCAATACTTCCAAGCAGCACTCTGGCTGCACTTCCTCCAAGACAACTGTTTTGTTCCTTTGGCAGTCTGTGGGATATTCAATATTCTTCTCCAACACCACAATTCAAAGGCATCAACTGAAAATACCATGACTTGCATCAAGTGCACCTTAGTCTTGCTTTTTGCACACCTTTTTTCCCCCTAGTCCATTTAGGAATCAGATTGATTACATCTATGGAGAACCTCACTGTCAGCTGTGAAAACTAGGCCAGGAGCTGACTGTAAAACTGACCACCAACTACTCATATGCAAGTTCAAGCTGAAGCTAAGGAAAATTAAATTGGATCCACAGGAACCAAAATATGACATTGAGTCTATCCCACCTGAATTTCAAAACCATCTCAGGAACAGGTTTGAGGTCTTGAACACCAATGAAGGAAGACCAGATGAGTCGTGGGAGGATATCAAGAATATCATACAAGAAGAGTGCAAAAGGTCATTCCAAAGACAGAGGAGGAAGGAAAAGACCAAAAACGGATGTCAGAAGAGACTGAATGTTGCACTAGAGTGCAGAAAAGCCAAGCAGAGGGAAGAATTCAAGATACTAAAGAGCTGAACAGAAGATTTCAAAAGGCAGTGAAGGAAGACAAAGTAAAGTATTACAATGAAAAGTACAAGGAGCTGGAGTCAGAAAATCAAAAGAGCCAAATACATTTGGCATTTCTTAAGCTGAAGGAAGTGAAGACGACTTAGGTATATTCTACCCAAGAAGACTCATATAAACAACCTACGTTTTGCAGATGACACACCTTTGCTTACTGAAATCTGAAGCACCTGCTTCAGAAGGTCAACCTCAAGAAAACAAAGATTCTCATCACTGGCCCAATTGGCAGCAAAATGACAGAAGGAGAAGAAATTGAAGTTTTAACAATTACAACTTGACTAGCTCTAGTCAACACTCTTGGCGCCATCAGTCAGGAAATAAAAAAACAAATGGCACTGGGAAAATCTGTTGTCAGAGACCTCTTCAGAGTGCTGAAAAACAATGATGTCAGTCAAGAGACTAAGGTGAGCCTGATCCAGGCCATGGCCTTCGCAATTACTTGCTGCACATGAGAAACCTGGACAATGACCAAAGATGACAGAAGAGCAATCAATGCCTTTGAGTTGTGGTGCTGGAGAAGAGTCTTGACCATACTATGGACTGCCAAGAAAACAAATAGATTTGTCTTGGAGAGGGTAAAACCAAAGTTCTCCTTGGAGGCTAGGATTTTGAAGTTTTGTCTCACATACTTTGGGCATGTGGCCAGGAGGGACCAGTCCCAGGAGAATGACACCATGCTTGGAAGGGTGGAGGGACAGAGCAGGAAAGGAAGACCTCAGGT